GACTTCTTGGGGCAAAAATATATTTCTTTATATTTGGAAATAGGAGGTATTATTGTGGGCACCAACCATAAACTGGCCCAGAAGGGAGAGTAGAAAAAGGACTGTATTGGGTACAGCAGTGTTTGGCTTAGGAACACTAGGGGTACTTGTATCTTAAGATTATGGTATTTCAGATCTTGATCCAAGCATACAATCTGCTGACTGCTTCCCAGAGAGCTCCCATTTGTTCCTCTCTGCTGACTTGGTCTTTTTAAACTTAGCATGGAGAGATGTCCTATGGGCCACTCCACAGCTATCTCTTTCCATCCCTGCTAGGGTTCCCTCCTCTTTATCTCTGCCTCTATCCACTAGTTCTTCATTGTTGGAGTAGGAATGGGTTGAGAACTTGTCAATGCTGAACTGGTCTGTTTGGAAGGGCCAGCTGTCAACCAAAGGGGCTCAGCCATGGGCATGGTCATTTGCTTTGATACTGCCTCTTCCCTTTATTTTGACATCCTTGCTCCCGTTCTCAGGGAAGGATTGGTGGAGTAAGGATTGCCTGAAAGAAGCAAGGATGGAGCAAGAACACAGTGTTTCTAAGGTTTCTCTGAGAAGGAGAAACCATGCTTAAAGAAGATTGTCCATAAAAAGTTGGACTCACCATACTAAGCTGATGCCATGTTAGGTTTATTACTAGATGAGGAGGGAAGGGAGTGATATTAGAAAATAGGATAATAAGGAGGATAATAAAGAGGAAAGTATGGTATCTGGAAATATTTAAATAAAGATGAGTCTCTAGGCATGGAGAAAAAAGAACTTATCCGGTTTTACAGCCATCTTACATGTTTAGAGCAGTATAGTTTGTGAACTGCAGTTTTTAAACCCAATTGTAATATCTTAGAGCAAGAAAATATTAGAAATTCAATAATTAAAAAATATACAACATAGTAATATTTCCTATCTTTAAAATTGACTGTTTAAAATAATTACAATTTCATGTTTCTTACATATACCCTATGGAAAGCAGAAAGAAAAAAATATCCATGGATTTGCCTTCAAAAGACAGTCACTCTTAGAATTTGGCATATTTTCTTCTAGCCCTTTTCTCTTTGCATGGTTTTTGGTTTTGTCTGACAGTCAAAGGCATTTTTCTTGCCTTGTGGAATTTTTTGGGCTTCAATTGGAGCAGACTGTGGTTGTGTTCTGATAATGCATGTCTGTGATTCATTCTTTTCTTGTCATGAGGCTGAATAAGCAGCACCTCAGTTGTTGGCTTGAATAAATCTTCTATATGCTTTTAACATAAAACACTCTTCAGATTAGAAAGCGAATAATCCTTAGAGCAAAGAAGTGTGGCACATGTTTCACAACCATTTGAAATTGATCGGATATGAAAAAAAAAATCAGAAGCACAAAAATTGCTTGGGGGAAGTGTGTCACAAAGATAAGACTTTGAGGTTCTTGAGATAGGACGCAGTCTCTCTAGGACACATATTGATGTCCAGTAATATGTATTAAATGTGAAATGATTATTAGTATATGTTACATGCTGGTCTCAAGGTGCAAAAGGAAAATCTTTTCACCTAGAGGAAACTTAAAGGAATATGGGGCCAAAGAGGAATATTGAACCCAAGTTAGAAATTCTGCTCCTCTCTGGGCTAACTAGGCACCGCCTCAGAAACACCTGCCCTTAACATTGCCACCATTAAATTGTGACTGTTGAACTATATAATTTTAATGAGTTTCCAACCCACTCTGACACTCAGTGATTGGATGAATTTATGGTTCTGGAACCAAACGCTGAGAATGTTAGGATCCCCAGACCTAGTAGTTAGCTTGACTCTGCCTTTCCCTCATTTCTCACAACCAGTCAATTGCCAAGTTTGACTCACTTTACTTTGTAAGTCAGGGGTTGGCAAATGACTGCCTGGTTTTTGTAAATAAAGTTTTATTGAAATGTAGTTGTGCTCATTAGTTTATGTATGGTTCGTGGTGTGTTTGTGGCAAGGTTCCATGGCACTGACAGTGTGGTCTGCAAAGTCTAAAGTATGTATTATATGGTCCTTTAAAGAAAAAGTTTGCAAACCTCCCGTCTGAATAAAGGATTTGTAAGCACCTCTCCCCTGCCCCCCATCTTTCTTACCTTTGTTACAGCTTTTTCCTTCATCTCTTCTCATGTGGAGAATCCAAGAGCCTCTAAACTTAATTTTTTCTGACTTCAGTTTTGTGCCTTGATCATATCATTTAAAAAAATCTTAAGACACCAGTTTGTTCACTTAAAACTCTTCAAGAGCACTCTGCAGCACTGTTGATAAGGTCCAAGTTCAAAGTTAGAAAACCAGTATACTTTACAGATATGTGAAGACACTTCTGGTCCTAAGAAACCAGGTTTTGTGTGACATGACATATGCTATATGAATTGCAAGTCACGGGAAACCCACTTAACCCCACCAGTTCTGAGTGCAAAGAGACCACCTATTCCCTTTCCTACCTGAGATGTCTACTTGTAGATCTAGCCTTGGGAAACGATTGGTCTGGGTTTCTAGTTGTGTCACCTGGCCATTCTGGGTGTCGACTGGTTTGGTTTCTCCCTCTCTCCTTGACTTGCAGAAGGCCTTTTGTTCTGTACATGTACCTCCCTGGCATCTCTTCCTCTTCATAAAGGACCTGTTATATTGGGTGGATTAGGGCTCCATCCTTATGACCACATGTAGCCTTAATTACCTCTTGAAAGACCCTGTCTCCAAATGTAGTCACTTTGGGGGCTTGAGCTTCAACATATAAAGGGGGAGCACTATTTAGTTCATAGCCGATGTAGATCATTTGATTCTCTGATGAAAGCTATGATTCATTGATTCATTTACCCAGAAAAATGCAGAGACATGTACATATAAAACCTGGGTACAGTTACAGGCTTGAAAGGTCCCTGATAAAGGGAATATCTGAGGCAGGCTTGCAGGGGGGAATACCCAAGAAAAGAATAGGAGGATGTCTATAAAAGAGGAGGGGCATCCTACTCCCTTTCATTTGTTCAATAATTATCTACTGAGTGCTGCCCAGGTGCCAGCCTCTGTGCCAGGGTTACAATATTGCAGAGCTCTCGGTCTCATGACTTGAGTTTTTGTTCCAGGAGATAAGACAGTAAACAAGCAAGCCATTCAGTGTCAGAGTACCAAGTGCCCTGAAGAAGATCGAGAAAATGATTAGATGATGTGGTCAGGAATGTCCTCACTGAGGAGTAGATGTCCAAGTTCAGGCTGGAATGACATAGAGTCAGCCCTGAAACTGGAGGCATGGGATTTGTGGCTGATGAAATGCCAGTAACTTTGGTCTAATTTTGCATTAGCAGGCAGAGCCACCGCCTCCTGCCCCTCTTGCTTCCATGTTCTCTTCTGCTGCCTGCAGAGCAGGGATTGGGATTTGCTGTGTGCTAGGCATAGCTGTTAGAGATTACTTCTCTTTGTATGTTTTTCTCTTGTCTTTGAAATCTCTAGGTTGTGTGTTCTAAGGAGCAAGATCCTCCAAACATCTGTTTCTCTAAATTCAGTGACATTACAAGAGATTAGTCACTATTGTCTTTAGCCTAAATGAGAGCACCCATTGTTGTTGTTATTGTTTTTTTTTTTTTTGTGTGTGTGTGTGTTGTGTAGGGTATCATCAGTACTGATGGTGTTGCAAATGCATAAACAAAAATTATTTTTCTGGGCTGGGGTTGTGGCTCAGCAGCAGAGTGCTCACCTAGCATGTTTGAGGCCCCTGGGTTCAATCCTCAGCATCACATAAAAATAAATAAGTTAAATAAAGGTCTAAAAATATTCTTTTTCCATTGTTCTTTGGATGTATCACCGTCCTCCAACTTCCCAGGCTTTACACATGGGATTCCATCTGCCTGGTTATCTCTTTGCCTAGTGGATTCCTGCAGCTTCTCAGGAAGTCTTTTTTTTTTTTTTCCAAACAAAATTCACATTTTATTTAGATTGAAATAAACTGTACAAAATTGATTTTCTTCACCAAAAATAAAAGTAATATTTTCTATATTATTTCTAGGTAAACTGCAAAACATTTAGTTTTGTAGGTTTTCCAGGTTTTGTGTATAAATCAAGACAAGGCAGTAGATATGGGCAACTTGTCTGTTTACTTTTTCCATGACTATATCAGTGGCCTCTGATTGTGTCTTGACCGGGAAGCAGAAGTGTTCAACATTTACCTGCTAAAATGAAGGTGTAGGCTTATAAGAGGTAGGCTCAACAAAGGGATGTAAACAGCAACAACCAGACATGGAACAACGTCAGCCGGCTCTTCTACTCAAACTTTAACTGCAACTTGTTCTTTAAGTTCATTTGATAAAGACAAAATCTATTCTGAAATCTGTTTGGTGAGCTCACAATTCTGGTTAATTCCCTTAATTGTGCATTACAGACTTTAATTCACTTAAAACTCCTAATAGTCAAAGGTAGGCTTAACTGTAACATTTCATAAGATGCATTCTTTTCTTATACCTCCTCAAAATTTATTTCTTCAAAATTGATAATAATACCTGACAACTGGATCCATGGTAATAATACATTCTTATAATCTGAAAGACTTGACTAAAACAATTCCAGAGTGCTACTAGCAGAGGTCATGCAGAGGTTAAATTCTGTACATTTATTGGGATCTTCTGGAAGGACAGACAAGTTTAAAAAGCATGAGAGATCAAACAGGTGCCATGTACCTAGGCAGATTACCAATGGCTACTGTATTCATGAGAGGCGGCTTTTGGCCTCTAGACTGGGTGGGGTTTTCTCCCTTCCCAACCACCCCCTGTACCACACCCAAGCCTGTCAATTTTGCATACACTTTTATATACCCTGGCACCTGAGCCATTTCTAGAGTTTGTGTGTTTGTCTCTGCAAGGGCATGCTCTTCTTTTGTGGGCATGGCTGCACCAGATTTGCTCCCCAGAGGCTCACCAGTGTCCAATCACAATAGAAAGTGTGAGAGGGAGGGAGGGAGGGAGCAGTAAGCTGCCAGGAAGATACGGAAAAGGAACTGAGAGTGGGAGTTGGGGCGGAGTTACAGGCAAAAGAGAATAAAGAATCTGAGAGGTAACAGGGAATGAAGAGGACAATCAGGAAAGGTAAAGTGTCGTATGCCAAGAGAGGAGGGGTGGAGGTGCCCATGATCCACAGTGCCTACTGTGGCTGAGACGCCAGGAAGGCCAAAGGCCGAAAGCTTTCTGTGGGGTCAGCAATTAAGGATCATTAATGGAATCAGCAACCAGGGAAAATCCGGGTACAGCAGATTGAGGCATGGGTAGCTGGTAGGATTGGATTTAGCAGGTGGTTGGTGCTCTTGGGAGCAGTGAGGTGAAATCCTTCCTGTCCAGGCTTTGCAGTTGGACTGCTGGTTTCAGATGCTGCCTCTGCCACTTGTTAGCATGTGAGTTATTTCATCTCCTTGTCTTGGTTTATTCATCTGTTAAATGGAATCCTAACATATCTATTTCTTTTACTTTAAATGTTCTTGGCATATGCAGTAGCTACTACTAACAAATCCTTGTGGAGTCTGAGTGGCTTATGAGCACACATTTATTTTCTAATCTACAGTGTTCTATCTATCTGGCCTTGGCTTCAGGCCTCCTTTGGGGGTCACTTTTACTTTGCCCCGTTTTGGGGGGTTGTCTCTGGGCATGCTTTCCTTTGGCCATCACAAGTGCATAAGATGCTAAACTGAACTGTATAAGCTAGTTTTAACATTCCTACTAACATCTTGTCTATTCATGTCCATGTCTAAATGAACTCCCATGGCCAAGGCCAATGTCTTTGCATAGGGACATATATTCTGCCCAAAGGGGAGGTGAGTGTATATTTATTAAACAATAGTTCAGTTTACCCTAGTATGCAAAATGCTTAAATTAGTGCCCATATGGGTCTGTTTGCACTCTAAGCCATAGAGCACTTTTAGCAATTTTACTAATGGGAGGAAGAAAAAGAAGAGAGTGGATTGTTGATAAATGAACAGGAGGGTTGAGGGAAGATTGTCATATACAGTGAGATGTGAGCCTGTTAACAGACTTCAGGGAAGGAGTCAGTAGGCTCATGGAAGGTAAAAAAAACATGAGCTTACAGACCTCATGGCTGTGGATAGCAGCAACAGCCCTGGAGGCAAATGGGATAGATAGACTTTCTCTGATCAGCTTTGTATTCTTGATTCCCACCCTCCCTCCCTAATCTTAAGGAGAGAGTTAAGTGGTAACAGTTGGTGTTTACGATGTTTTAATGGCTATCATATTGAGAAGTGACTGGAAGCATCTTTAGAAATAATTTACACCACCATAAAATGAATTGCTAATCTTTCAGAGTGGATTCTTTTGCTGTTTGTTTTTGTATATCAGCCAAGAAGATATAGACCAATGAGGAAACTGGTAAAATATTTCAGGAGCATTGTCTGATTTGAAAAGCTAAGTAGGAACATAAATCCTTTCTTAAGTACTCAGTTGTGTTTCCTGTTGTTTGCTTGTGCTTTACTTATCTCTTAGAGTGATGTGCACGTGTGTGATTAAGATGTCCCCGGGATGCACGCCTACCAGTGCTCAGCTGTAGCACTGTATTGGAAACCTAGGGGCTCTGGGATGAGGCTTGGCAGTCATTGTTTAGCCTCTAAGATGGGCCGAATATTTAAAGGGACATAGGCAATGACATTGATTAAAAAGAAAAGCATTGATTGGCTGCCTAACTTTGTGGGAGTGACTGGGAAAGCCGGAATTCACTGCCCTGGGTGGTGTGGGTAACGAGGAGTTCAGAGTAGAGAATGTAGGTATAGAATAGGGCAAGAGGTTCTCATTTTTCGAGTGTGCCAGGGATCCAATCCAGGTCTTTACACATGCTAAGCTTGAGTTCTATCACTGAGCTATGCTCGCAGGTTCTGGCAGGAATTATTTTAATAAGATAAACTACATCTTGAAGGATGTGCATGTATTAGCACATGGAATGTGAACAGTGTTAATGTGTGCTTATTTATCTTTATACTAAAATAATGTGAATGAAGTTTCTTCCTGCTTGAAGCATGTATTGATTGTAGTTCTTCTTCACTACACAATTACACAATCTTCTAATACCCAAGGTCCACTATAATGACACTCACGTTTTCCTCTTGTCTCATCTCCATGCTTTCTTTTTTCTTTTTGGTGATGCTGGGGATCAAGCCCCAGCGCTCATGCATGCTAGGCAAGTGTTGTGCCATTAAGCTACAAGTTCAGATCCACTTTTTTTCCCATTTCCTTTTCCCTTCTTACTGATTTGCTCTTCCTTGTAAATGCCCCACCTCTTCCTAGTCTGTACCTTCTTTCAAATTTTCTCTTTTGCTTGGACATTTTCCCCTGATCTCTGTGAAATCCGACTTCTTTTTCAGACTCATCTGAAATACCAGGTTTCTGTGGAGTCTTGGAGGGGTAATAATTTCCTTTCTCCGTTTTGCAGTTTCTCATCATTACCTTCTCTGCATTTTTTGTTCCCACTCTCCCTTCCCCTATATTCTCTGTAACATAACTATTGGTTGGCTTATTTTTGATCAGTAACACAGAAATACTCAGACTTTTCACTTTCATAGATAAGAAATTTTAAATGGAGATCACTTGTATGTTGTACAAGTTTCTATAGCATTCAATCTCTCTCTCTCTCCCTCTCTCACATGCACACACACCTTCCCCCCACCTCTCTTACCTAAAACTTTATGAAAGATGCACAGTTAACCTCAAAAGAATGTAGGAAAGACAGTATCAGAATATAGGACAGACTGTACACTAAAAGCATTTGGCAGAAGACACTCCTGTGGCTGGCTGCCTTTGGATTTTGCTGAACATTGAGCAAAGCTGCATCCTGTATTCCTCCCCTCTCTGGACAGGCATTTGGAGCTGTTAATTTAGTAGGCTGTGAGCCTTACCAGAGCCGATTTATCTCTGAATCCCGCTTTATCTCTATCCCCCTCAGAGATAATCCTGGGTCTTTAAAAGCTTGTAACAGGAAAATAACTGTGATCGGTCACACAGAAGGAACCAGGTTGGGGAGAAGATTATTCAAAGATCTGACAGTTGTTTCCAATAACTAAGCAGAGAGTCACTTACTTTTACAAAACCATGTCTGACATGTGTATGAAAAAGGAGTGGACTCCTTACAAAGCCTGTTTATTCTCAAAGAGCTAGGAATTTATAAAACCCCTAATTATGGCATGATGATTATTTTTTCTTATCTCTAAAGTGTGGATATGATTACTTGGATGATTACAAACAATTATGCAATCATGGAAGAATTTTCTAAAGTAATTTCTGACCTCAAATTCTTGTTTTCTCAGTTCTTTTCAAAGTTTACAGAACAGAACAAATTGATTTAATGCTGGGGAGAAAGGCACTGATGATCATTCAAACTTGCACTATCTAATAGAACTTTCTGTAATAATTGTAATGTTCAGTAACTCACCCTATTCAGTGTGGCAGCCATTGTCACGTGGGACTACTGAAATGTGCCTAGCACCACTGCAAAACTAACTTTTAAGTTGTTTTTTAAGTATAATTGATTTAAAATAGCCACCTGTGACTATTGGCTTCCATATTGGATAATGTGGTTTCAAAGGATTGACCAGTGCATACTGAAGAGTATTGATCCACCAACTTTGATGGCATCTTATCAATTTTTTTAATATGTTTGAGATATTAGGAAAGGAGTAATTTTTCTTATTGCGACATCTTTAGCAGGTTATATATCTACCAATCAATGGCTCTATTGAACTCTCAGCTACTTTTCACCCTCAGACTGCCATAAGTTGTACAAATGCTGATTTCAATTCATTGTGTTAAGATCTGTTTTTCATTATTATAACTCTTGTTTTAGATAATATGATACACACACACACACACACACACACAAGTGCGTATATAGTCAGCTCTCTGTATCTACGGGTTCCACATCTGTGGATTTAACCATGAATTGAAAATACTCAGGAAAAAAAATTACATCTGTATTGAAAATGCACGGAATATTTTTTGTCTTCCTAAACAAGTCAGTTTAGTAACTATTTACATAGCATTAGCATCATATTATTATAAATAATAATTAAAGAATACAGGAGGGCATGCATAGGTTGTACACAAATACTATACCATGTAATATAAGAGTCTTGAACATATGCAGATTTTGGTATTCTTAGAGGGTCCTGGGACCAGTTGTGTCCAGATACTGAGAGATGATTGTATACACATTTGTGAAGCTCAAGTGAAACGAGGGCTGGAGCTTGTTAAACTTGAGTACCTCTTTGGACATTTCTGTAGTGAGCAAACAAAATTGCTGACTTGGATAGTCTTGCTCCACCCTCCCTGGAAAGAGGAAATGCTCATATTCATAAAGTCAGACTAGAACCTATCCGGCTTTTTCCATGACTCTGTGCTTTAGTGAATACTTTGTTTCTGCCTGTATTCCTTCTTATGTATTCTTTCCTTAGTTTCTGGGGTTACCCCTTTAAAAGAATTTTAAGTTTTTTTTTTCCCTCCAAAGACTTTATATAACCTTCTGTCCCTTTCTACCTTCCCTAGAAATACTGATCACCTACCCATCCACCTTCTTTATTTCTTTTCTTTCTTTCTTAATAGAGCTGTGTGTATAAGTACATACTGATATATTCAAAATAATTCAAGTATTTGGTTTTGAAGAAATCCTATCATTACACTGACATTAACAAGAGCCAAGACTTAGAGATGCTAAGCAACATGTTGAAGGACACCCTGAAATAGCCTGCTGTGTGCATCTCTAATTTAGCAGCAGTCGGTAGTTGTTGAGCACTCACTATATGCAAGGAATCAACTGAGCACCTTACATATATTTTCACTTAATTACTTAGGTTTTATAAAGAACTTATGATTGTTCATAATTTTATAGGTTGTCTTAATTTTAAAATTCTAACATTAATAAAGGCAACACACTTAGAGTGAACATGCAGCCAGTTTAGTAGTAAAGCCCAATTGGTTTCACTCTAGAACCCATGATTTTACCTACTAAGCAATGATTAAGATGTAGAGGAGAAAACTCATTTCCCAAAGTAGCAAGGTATGGTGGGGCAAAACCATGGGTGGCTGGGAACACTTCTGGT